AACTTATCATGACCCCAGTCCCTTTAAACCACTATCTCATTCACAGTTAAAGCAGCTTCCTTAAAAGTTTAGTCAATCAAGCTGAATTTAAGCCCTAACTAGACTAAACCCATCTGCCATGGATTATCCTGGCCTTTCACAATCTTGTCGCCCCAGATTGCTGGCTCTAATTTTGCCTGAGATGGTGAATTCCAGCATCTCCTGCTGCAGACAGGGGCATAACGAACGAATTTGTTGGAGTACTTTCATGTAGTGCCTATGCAGCACCTGGAATGAGTGTATTTATACGGCCCAAACCAGAAGTCCTTACTCAGGAAAAACTTGTAGGTACAAGATAGTAGGAATTTTATTTGCTCTCTTGACTCTGTGGGATTTGACCCCAAATTACCATATAAATTAGGAATTCATTCCTAATCCCGTTGATCCTTACCTGAGAAGATTTTATTGCTCAAAACTATGAAAGTAGGCATAGATACTTGCAAAATACTGACAAACTTTCACACTTAAGTGTGTACATAACCTAGTATCTTCATAGAAGAGCCCCACCTGTCCTAGTGTGAAGGGATGATGGTCTGGCTGGGGGGAGAAATCGTTTTCATCATGCAGAAAAAGTCAGGTTCAAATCTTTTTGCTGCAGAGAAACATACTTTGTAAAGGAAGCAGATCCAGAATGACCCTGTTGCTGGCCTTATTGTACAAAACCCATCTTAATCCAGCAGGTGAGCTAGTCACCGGCCATGCCCACGCTCTGAGTAACAGGACCAGGCGATCCAGATCTAAACCAGTGGCTTGTAGCCTAGTTACAACACAGTTGGGAATCCGGTCGTACATCACTGATTTTCAAACTGTTTTGGCCACATATCCCTTTACCTGCAAAATATTGCTGCTTGTCCCCCTTACACGTTTCTTCATGTTTAGTGAGATCAACGTGCAGTAACACCATTACTCACTGGGCCTTGACCAACCAGCAGCTCCACTGCCATTATTAAAATTTAAGCATGCCCCCCTTGGCACAGCACCATTTACCCCAGGGAGTATGCATACCTCAGTTTGAAAACTATTTGTGCAGGTGGAAACCAACAATATTCATGTAACAAAAGCTGAAATCTTGGGCAAACCATTCATTTACATCTTGCCAGAGGGCACGGGCAGAGTTCCTTGCAACTTTTAACTGCTGCACAAAGCTCAGAGAAGAATGGTTTTATAATGAGATGCTCTGGTTTAGTAATAACAGGTGTGAACAGGGCTTTACGTTCTCTGCTTTCTTTACCGCACCCAATACCCACAGGTCGGTGGAGTAGAGATGTTAGAGTCAGAAACATCTCAGGACACATTATCATAGCCCTGGATATGCCACTGAATAGTTCATGCTGTAGGACGTTCTTGACCTGATCTTCTGTTGCCACCATAGTGGGCATAATATATAGGATCAGAGTCAGCACAACAAGCCTTTGTGCTTCACAAATCTTAGTAAGAAGTGCATGTTCTCCATTTGCTTCAGGCTCATATTTAATGCAGTTATTTCACTGGGGACGTTCTCTCTTTTCACCTTGCAGAGGGAGGAACAAGATCTCCGGGAAGCAAACAGCATGTTCCTTACTAGCACAGCAATAATAGCTGCCTGCTAGGACTCAAATGCATGAACCAGTTTCTTTCCTTTCACAAATTCCCTGTCTGCCATTCCCTGTACAGGAATTTGTGAGACACAGCTGGGGCTGACCCCTCAGCTGGGGAAATGTGGCATAGCATCACTAATAATTATGATATTATTATGTAAGGACCCAAATTTAGATGCTATTAAAACCACAGTAGAAAAAAACATGCCTCCTTGTAGACTAATAACTTAATCAAGGTCAAAGCTCTCCCAAGCCTAACACTCCAACGTGGCTCAAGCATGCCAGTTTCTGTGGCCATTTACACAAAAGGGTGTAGGACAACATGACACCCTTCGTCCCTAGCTCAAATAATCAGGTACTCACTTCCAGCTAGGTGGGCTGGTGCGTAATCTTCAATAGGAGTCCAAACCAAGGCTGGAAGCAACACAACTCAGCCACCCTCCCATCATCCCTCTTGACAATGCAAGAAAGGGTCTGTCTCCTATGTGGACAAGGTGGTGCCACTAAGGGCCTGTCTACATCGTGTCCCTGGCACTCTTGAAGATGGGCCATGGCAAGAGTATCCCTCCCTGCACCCAGGGACACGGTATGGACATACTCGTACTGGATTTGTAGCCTGTCCCTTCAAAGACTGCAGAGTCAGGTCCTGGAGGAGAAGGGGCTGAGCACTTCCCAACCACCTAAGTTCGCAGGCACGCTCCAGACCCAGAAGTTCAACACTGACCACATATCCACAGTATCCATAAGCTCTTTGCTTTTGGAAGGCCTGAGAGCAGCTGCAAAGGGGCCAGCTCAGAGCAGCCTCCCTGGCCAACTTCCCAGGTCTGGTGCCTACCTGTAGGCTTAAGTGGGCATGGCCTCCTCAACCCTGTCCTTGGAAAAAAAAACAGGCTGGGTAGGAGGAACCCAAAACTTGGAACTTCAGAAAAGGAAAAGCACAGGAGAAAGAGAGGCAACAGGACCATAGACATGAGATCACCTCTAAGACCTGTGGGACGAGTGAAATCCAGGCTCCATTGAAGTCAATGGGAGTTCTGCGACACATCTGAGAATAGGCCAAGATTTCAGTCCTTATAATGCCAAGGGTTTCAGAAACCTTCTGCACAGAGATTGTCATATGGGCGTCTCTCTTTCTCATTCATAAAAACCCTGACCAGCACCACCACCACCCACCTCTGCACCTCCCGCTCCTAAGCAGTCTTTTGCTTTGAATAATCATCATAATTTTGGGATCCTATGACCCCAGCTGACTTCCTGCCCTTTGGACGGGGGGCTGGACTCGATGATCTTCCGAGGTCCCTTCCAGCCCTAAAGTCCATGAAATCTATGAAGTCTATGAAATCGTATCTTCATTTGGAAGCTGCAGCCTCTATTATGGGCTCCCAAGGGATGTGGTGCTCTCCCCTACCTTGGGGGTCTTCAAGAAGAGGTTGGATAGATATCTGGCTGGGGTATTATGATGCCAGCACTCATTCCTGCCCAGGGCAGGGGGTTGGACTTGATGATCTGTTCAGGTCCCTTCCAATCCTAGCATTTATGAAACTATGCAACTATTATCCACCTTTGCTGTGAGCTAAAAATCAAGCGGGACTTTTAGGACAACAAATTACCTTCTTTGGTGCCCTGTGTGGCAGCCATGCAATCACTAAGCACACAGACGCTTACTATAACAACCTGCTGTCACTTAAATATAGATGTAAAGGCATTTGCACCAGTCTGTTGGGGAAAGCAATATTGCTGACTGGCCCCCCAAATTCTGCTGCTGGGTTGTTTGATTGAAAAAAAAATGTCTCTGTTGTCTCTTCAGTGAAAGGGTGAAGCCAAAAATTCATCCACTCCTGCCTGCCGAGCATAAAGCGAGCAACCAGCAATGTAATATTGAGCCCAGGGGATTAACACTCAGTGCTAAGCACTAGTGTGACCTACTCGAGTGTTGTCTCAATAGAAGGATTAACCTTTTGCCACTAAAGAGTTTTATTCTCATCCTGATGAGGTCAGAGATTATGGGGCATTAGTGTTTCTTTCTGTCCCATTATTTAAAACATTACAGCCTGGGATTAACCTTGGAGACTGGCTCTTAAAGCCACTCAAATCCTACCATCCTAATTAAACTAGAATTTTTCAGCTCACATAAACGCTGAGGTTGGGGCTGTGGGAGAGAAGAGCTATTGAGCCTGAGCAGAGCGTAGGCTCTGGAGAAAGTCTGCAAAGTCCTGTCTCCATCTCCACAGGAGCAAGCAAGGGCTCTTTCACCGCTGAGCACTTCACTAGTCACTGGGACTCGGTGAGGCTGGGAGAAGGCAATCCAGCATCACGGGAGAGCTGTGCAACCGTAACCAGTGGTCCAGAGAGCCCTCCTCAGCCCTATGTTTCTATGCATCCTGCCTCACCGAGAGTGCTGCTACTAGGTAAGGCTCACACTACCAAAGAAGTAAAGATTAGCCATGGAAACAAGGGGGAAGCTTGGGCTGGTTGGACAACAGTGAGCATTTTGGGGGAGCAGGGGGGAGAAAAATAAAAGTAAACTAAACCATTTTTTTAAGGTTTCAACATTTTTCCTGACATTTTTCTTTTTTGACAAATGCGTATTTTCGTAAGTGAAATTTAAAAAGCCACACGTGTCTAATTGGGGGCTCCCCCCCCCCCCCCCATGCATTGAAAAAGGAGGGAAATGACAAAAGAAAAATG